CAGTCATGACAAGAGTTTGCCGTAATCAGACGGCGCGGAGGGCACGTCCATTTCCGCATCGACTACAAGGGGCGCCACTTACCGCCCACCACGACGCGGCAGCCTGGAGAGGAGCAGGGGCGCGATCTGGGGAGGTAGGAGTGACGGGGAGGATGAGGATGAGAAGGAGGAGGGGGAGACGAGGAGGGGAGGAAGGGGGGTGAACCTCTTCCTTCTCCACAATTACATGTACGGAATACTGGTCCCCTCTCTCCCCTGACTCCGTCGGGAAGATAGGACCGCCCACTCCGCGCAGTGTGTTCACACAGAATTCCAAACGCTGTTTCTGTCTACTCCGATGGCTTTCGGTGCTTCAATCTAGCGCTCCCGCTGCAGCGTGGGCCTTATCTTTGGGCCTGATGTGTCAAGTGCAAGGGGATGCGGCGCATCGGCGCCGTCCAAGGTGGCTATGACAGCAACGGAGGCGGCAGCAGCGTGGGATCCTCCTTCGGGTCCGAGGGCTCCAGGGAGTGCTTGGGCAAAGAGGCCGCCGCAGCATGCTGACCAGATGCGGTTGCTCAAAGGCCTACAGGCCCGAGTTGCCAAGCTCTCTTTCGGGGGGGGGGTAGCGGAAGCCAACCCCATGGACCGACGGTGGTAAGGCAGTAGGGCCATCTGCGCCTTCGACAGGCTGGTTCTCTTACAAGCAGGTTGCCGTATTTTTGGAGAAGAGGGAGGCTAAGGCGAAGGCCGCAGCAGAGAAGCAACCGAAGGCTTCAGCGCACTCTGCGCATTGGCGAGCCGATTGTCTACGGAAGAAGGTCCAGAAGGGGGACGCCAGGATGGAATCGATCGAGCAGCAGAACGTGGCGTTGTATAACAAGCTAGCGGAGGCCAAGATGCACCTCGAGCAATGCAAGAAGGACTTGGGGGCGGCAGGCCTACTGTGCAAGGTGCGCTTCAAGAAGCTGGACGAGCCCCACAAGAGGGTTGGAGAAGTCGGTCGTCGAATCAGGCCCTGGGCGTGCAGCTTTTTGGGCCCTTCTCGGGCCCCAACGGCAGGCAACTCAGATCGAAGTGGCTGCAGCTCCTGCTGCTGCTGGTGCTGCAGATGCAGCCGATGATGGACCAGCCGCTGCATACGTCCCTGTGGGAGATGATGACGACATCCACATGGACGCTCTCGGAGCCGACGGCCTCACGGCGCAGCAGCAGGCCTTCGCGAAGAGGCCACCGAGGCACTGCGAGGAACCAGAGATCCTCACCAGCGTGAGGCGGCCGAGGGCTGCTGTGGGTCACGACATAGCTCAGGGAGTCACGTCCCTGGCTTGGGCAAGTCGCCTGGGCATCGTTCTTGGATGGGCTGGTCGGATTGTTCGAATCGTCTAGAATGTGTTCCCCGAATTTCTTTCAGTCCAGCATCGCCGACGCCGACGACGCGCCGACGCAGTGGCCAAAGTCTCAGAACAGGTTGCAATCCTCGCAGGTGGACTCGGGGGAGGACCAGGAGATAGAAACGGTATTTTCAACATCCCACTTGCGGCATACTGCCTAGCAACATTTCGACCACGCCTGCGCGAGACAAACGCGGGGGGCGGGGAGGAGGAGGAGTAGGAGGAGGAGGAGTAGGAGTAGGAGTAGGAGTAGTAGTAGTAGTAGTAGTAGTAGTAGTAGTAGTAGTAGTAGTAGTAGTAGTAGTAGTAGTAGTAGTAGTAGTAGTAGTAGTAGTAGTAGTAGTAGTAGTAGTAGTAGTAGTAGTAGTAGTAGTAGTAGTAGTAGTAGTAGTAGTAGTAGTAGTAGTAGTAGTAGTAGTAGTAGTAGTAGTAGTAGTAGTAGTAGTAGTAGTAGTAGTAGTAGTAGTAGTAGTAGTAGTAGTAGTAGTAGTAGTAGTAGTAGTAGTAGTAGTAGTAGTAGTAGTAGTAGTAGTAGTAGTAGTAGTAGTAGTAGTAGTAGTAGTAGTAGTAGTAGTAGTAGTAGTAGTAGTAGTTAGTAGTAGTAGTAGTAGTAGTAGTAGTAGTAGTAGTAGTAGTAGTAGTAGTAGTAGTAGTAGTAGTAGTAGTAGTAGTAGTAGTAGTAGTAGTAGTAGTAGTAGTAGTAGTAGTAGTAGTAGTAGTAGTAGTAGTAGTAGTAGTAGTAGTAGTAGTAGTAGTAGTAGTAGTAGTAGTAGTAGTAGTAGTAGTAGTAGTAGTAGTAGTAGTAGTAGTAGTAGTAGTAGTAGTAGTAGTAGTAGTAGTAGTAGTAGTAGTAGTAGTAGTAGTAGTAGTAGTAGTAGTAGTAGTAGTAGTAGCGCAGCAGCAGCAGCAGCAGCAGCAGCAGCAGCAGCAGCAGCAGCAGCAGCAGCAGCAGCAGTAGTAGTAGTAGTAGTAGTAGTAGTAGTAGTAGTAGTAGGAGGAGGAGGAGGAGGAGGAGGAGGAGGAGGAGGAGGAGGAGGAAGAGGGCGAGCAGAACGGCCAGAGGCCCTTTGGAGGCCTCTTGGGACATCTCGGGGGTCGCGTGGCGGTCTCAGAGGCCTCTCTGGGCGTCTTGGTGTCTCTTTGGCCTCTTGGGGCTTCTTGGAGGCCGCTTGGGGGCCTCTTGGGGGCATCCTGGGGCCGCTCGAGGGCCTCTCGGGGCCACCTTGGGGCCTTCCTGGGGCACTCTCGGGGCGCTCTCGGGGCGCTCGCAGGGCCGTCTCGGGGCCGCCGCGGGCGCGTCTTGGGGACCCCTTGGGCCCTCTTGGAGCCGTCCTGACGTCTCGGCATCGGAAGCGAACGGGCGAGAAGGCGACCATCATGGATTTCCCGTAGGTTTGTGGACTTCTGTTGGCCTCTTGGAGCCGTCGTGGGGCTTCTTGGAGGATAGGTTTCCTGTTTCCCGGTTCCCAGGTTCCTGGTTGCTAGCCCTGGGCTGATTCGGCGGGCGGCTGGTTTCCTTGTCGTCAGGTTCCTGGGTTCCCCGTCGATCGGATTTACTATCATCTCATTCAATCGATCTCACTATCGATATCATTATCGCTCTTCCTATCGATCTCACTGTCGATATCACTATCGATCTCATTGTGGATGTCACGGAATCGACGTCACTATCGGTCTCTTCATCGATCTTACAATCGATCTATCTATCGACGACACTATCGATATTACTATCCATCGTTCTATCGAACTCCCAATCGATAGTGCGATGGATAGGGAGTGCGATCCATCGATTGTGTGAATATCCAGATGCCTTTCGGCAAGGACCACCGCCGCGTCAGCAGAGCCATCTAGGTGCCAGCTGGTCGAACGGTGATGACGATGACAACGAAGACCCAAGGTCGACGATGCTGATTATCAGGATGATGAGAATGAGCATGTTGACGATGATATTGCTGCTGCTGATGCTTATGGCCATGATGATGTTCATGAACGATGATGTTGATGGCAATGATCATTGGCAACAGGAGGCATAAGAGGAACGCCGACACATCGGCATCTCTCGACCTCACTTCTGGGAGCTCATTCGGGCCGTCCGTGGGTTGTCCAGGGATCCCGTGGAGCAGTCTTAAGACTCAACTGGACCATCTTGGGGCCCTCTTCGCCGTATGCACGGTCTCTTCGCGCAGTCGCGGGGCCGTGCCGAGGCCGTGTTGGGCCGTCGACCGGCCTCCTGTTGTCGTGTATGTTGGAGGCCTCTTGGGCCGTTTCGAACCGACGGATGCCCGAAGTCGAGAATGCCACAACCCTTCAACAGCTTACAAGGAATCAGTATTTAGGGTCTTCTCGGGCCCTACGGCGAAACTGCGGCCAGGCATGGTGCCTGCCAAATGTCCAAACCATCCACTGATTAGGGTTTTTCTTTGGTGTAACTTGTCTGATTGCCTTCCTCGCACCAAGCATCTAATTACCTCGGCAGGCTTAGCATCTCTTTCTTCTCACTAAGGCCACTACCGTCGCCTTAGTCTGATTTTTTTCGTGTGGTCAGCCAACATACGCGGCGATCCTTCCATCGACGTCGGTGCAACGAAACAGGAGGAGGTGGACCAGGAGGAGGGAGCTGGGAGTAGGAGGGAGATTGGAGGAGGGGGAGGAGGAGGAGTAGAAGTAGGAGGAAGAGGAGGAGAAAGAGGAGGAGGAGGAGGAGGAGGACGGGAGGAGGAGGAGGAGGAAGAGTAATAATAATGCTGCGAATAATGATAAACACAAAGGAAGTCATGCGAGTAATGACAATACGTCGAAAAATCACAATGCGAATCATCAGCATAATCATTCTGGTGCGAATAGGATGGATGGTAATATGAAGACGAATGAAACTAGCAAGAGGAATAACACTGGAAACTAAGAGTAACACTAGGAGTGCTAGTAAGCATATGGAAACCAATAGGACTATGAACAATGAGCTTGACAATCATCAAACAATACGAATCATCATAATAATCATAAGGGTAACCATATTATCAATCAGACGAAATCTATTACGAATAATATTAAGAATAAGAATAATCAGAGGATGATGATGATGATGATGATGATGATGATGATGCTGATGCTGATGCTGATGCTGATGCTGATGATGATGATGATGATGATGATGATGATGATGATGATGCTGATGATGCTGCTGATGATGATGATGCTGATGCTGATGATGCTGATGATGATGATGATGATGATGATGATGATGATGATGATGCTGCTGCTGCTGCTGCTGATGATGATGATGATGATGATGATGATGATGATGATGATGATGATGATGATGATGATGATTGATGATGATGATGATGATGATGATGATGATGATGATGATGATGATGATGATGATGATGATGATGATGATGATGATGATGATGAGGAGGAGGAGGAGGAGGAGGAGGAGGAGGAGGAGGAGGAGGAGGAGGAGGAGGAGGAGGAGGAGGAGGTGGCCTGGCATCCCGTGGCAGCAGGCGGCGAGGGGCGGCGGCGGCAGCGGTCGGGGGTTGGGGAAACCCGCGGCGGTGGCGCGCCGACCGGCAGGCCGGGCCGCCCCCCGCCGCCCCATTGCCGAGCGGCGGGCGCGAGGCCACCATGGCGCGGGAGGCGATCGGCGTGCCAGGGGCCGCCGCTTTTCCCGGGTCTCCGACGATGCTCGCCATGGGGGAATCGGGGCCCCCAAACGGGGTGGTGACCACACCGTGCGGTGAGTCGGTGGGGATTCGGGGTCACCGCACGGCTTTGGGACTCGGGTCGTGGGGGATTTCGAGGTCACCGCACGGTCTGTCACCGCACCGCTTCGGGACTCCAAAGGGAAGCAGGTCCTGAGGGAAACGTGTCCTGAGGGTTTTTTGCCCTTTTCAACTTCCTGGGGCCTTCCGCGGGCCCTGGGAGTGCCAGAAAATTATGCAGGATAAAGAACTTGTCCTGGGGAAGGGCGCTGGGGTCGAGGACCTGGTTCCCTGAGGACCGGCTTCCCCCATGCTCAGAAGGGTTCTGTTCCATCCCACCGTTTCCTCAGATTTTGGCCCCTGGGGCCCGTCATCGGGCCCTGGGACCATCAAGCATGGAGCTGGGTCCACGGGCTGGGCCCCGTGGGGCCGCGGATTAAACAAAAAGTCGGATCGGCGGATGATCGAATTTGGGCGCTTTTTGCACCCCGTTTGGGCCTCCGAGGGGCTCCTGGTCGCCACGGCCAGGTCCGCTGTGAGGCTCTGACTGTACCGAGGTTTTGGCCCCCGAGCGCCCTCAGATACCCGGCCCAGCGGCAGTCAACAAACAAATGCGACTCGGGACGAGAAGCTGGTCCCAGGGAAGGGGTTCAGACTCTGGGGATCCACCCAGCGAAGAAAACGCGATGTCGGATGTCTGGGTGTCCCCGTGAGGTCTGGAACCCTTCCCAGGGATTTTGCTTCTCATGCTGGGACGTCTTCTGGTGGTCCTGGGGCCCAGTCAAGGGACCCTGGGGCCGAACATGGCTCCCCCCCCAACCCGTTGTGTTTTTTTTTCACGGCGCGAGGACGTCTGGGTCCTGCCCTCCGAGGAGCTCTCTCCACGAGCCTTTCGGGAGTGGCGGGGCTTTCTCGAGAGGCTTCGCCTTGCCCTCTTGTCGGGAGGTCGTCCGCCTCGCCGCCACCCCCTTCTGTGGCCCCGCGACAGCGCACGCCAGCTCGGAGAGCGGGTCAGGACGATTCCGTAGGTCGAAGAAGAAGAGAGGCATAAAGCACGGGGTATCTCATCCGAGTACTCTGGGGATCCAAACGTGAGGGAACCACTGGACCATGCCCGGCCATATCAAGCGTCACCCACCCTCTTTGGGACGACGCGTCCCTCGATAGTCATTGGACCCTTGCCTCCACGAGTTCATATCCCCGAATGGGGTGCCACTGACCCTCTGGCATCCCAGATTCTCAAAGATCGCTAAGAGGGGCATTAGGGAGGCTAAGTCAGAGGAGTCAGACGGTGCATAAACGTAAACTTGAGCTCCGCGCGGATTTCTCGGATCTTCGCTCGACTCCTGCCTGTCGCGCGGAGCGCGCCAGGGGCGGTGCTGGAGGCGCCGCCAGGTGGGCCCAGCGCCGATCCAAGAGATCCGCGCGCACCTCCGACAGCTTGTCTGCTGACTTCTGCCGTGCTTTTTTCCTCCACGGGGGGGAAGGGGTCCGGGGTCGACCCGGGGTCGATTTCCTGACCGAGGCGAGCCCGACACCCGGGCGTCGCCCCCCCCCAAAAAGATGGCGGTGGACTTGGCCGGGCCCTCACGGACCGATCGGGCCACGCAGGGACGCAGAGACACGGGGTCCAAGTTGTGTCTTTGTCCACGGAGTCAGACCGTGTCGTTTGTCCGAAGCGTGTCACGTTCAGGTCGTGACGTTTCCACGACGCTGCGTTGTTTTGTCCATGGGCGCCAGCTGTGGGGTATCTGCGTGTACTGGTCTTGGCCGGGCCCATCCTTCGCCCAGGGCCGAAGGCTACGCCCTCCTGGCCAAGCTAGGAGTGCCTCAGCATTGGCCCATCCACTTGCCACGATCGAGTTCTTCAGAAGCTCGGTGCGGGAGGGTGGTCCTAGTGAACCGACGTCACGACGTTCTCATGACGTGGCTCCCCAGATGCCTACACTTTCCCAGGGACTGGCTTCTGATCCCGATTTTTTGTTGTTGACGGCCTTGGGGTTTGATGTGGGTCCCGGGGGCGGCCGATGATATGTATTCCAAACACTTTCCTCCAAGTTTGTTTTTTGTTCTGTTCACGACGCGAGGATGTCTGGGCCCAGGGGGGGCAACATCAGGATCTCGAGGCGGATCCCAGAGGCCTGAAGAGGGCGAAAAGCATGCAATTTTGATCCTTCCGCCTCATAAGGGCGCCCGGCGTTCCTCCAGAGGCGGGGCACATGATGCTGTGCCGGGAGGCCACCGCCGACGAGCCCTGCGAGGAAGCGGCGCGGGGGCGGGGGGGGGGGACCTGGCCCAGGGGTAGTCAGGCCAGCGGTGCTGCTGCTCCGAGGTCACGCCCACTTGCCACGCAAGGGGGCACCTCCGCGGTGGAGGGATGAGAGAGGTCACCACCCACCAAACCACCCCAACCCAACCCGAAGGCTCAGACTTACCCTCGATTTCCAGTGGGGGGGGTTCGGGAAACATCGACAAAAACACGTGTGGAACCCTTACCACCCCCAACCCGAAATTCGGGTCTTCGGGTTGGGTTGGGGTGGTCTGGTATAGGGGAGCGAAGAATGACATAAACATAACAACTCGGTGCTCCGCGCGGATTTCTCTGATCGGCGCTGGACCCCCTTCCCTATCACGCGGAGCGCGCCAGGGGCGGCGCCGGAGGCTCCGCCGAGAAATCCGCGCGGACCACCGAGTTTTTATGTTCATGTCATTCTTCGTTCCCCTATGGTAGGTCGTCGAGAGGAGGGAGGACGAGCTGGATGGCCCCGCGCCGCAGCGAGGAGGGAGGAGGAGGGAGGGCTCTCTGTGGCGCACGGCCAGCCCCCCCCCTCCCCCACCGGGGTGGCCCCGGCGGGCCTCCGCGTGCCCCACCCGAGCAGTCCCAGCTGGCCTCGCCAGGCTCAGGAGGGGAAACACCACACACACAGACAACGAATCGCCTCCCCCCCTCCCCCCGAGCAGGCTTGGCCGGTCTCGACCGCCTGGCGCCGCCTGCGGAGCGTCGCGCATGCGGCGCTCCGCTTCGCAGGGCGGGGGTGAAGTCGGGCATGTCCCTTTGCAGGAGCAGTATTCCCAAGCAGTCAAAAAGTAGTCGGGGACGATTTTTTTCCAGGAGGGGAAAAACACACACACACACAATGAATCGTCGATCCCCAGGAACAGATGGGAAAATATGGGAAGTGGGGGGGAAGACGAAAACCCAGAAAATATGAGAAAATATGGGGAATCCTTCTATTTGTGTGTATTTATTTTTGTGTCCCAGGGCCCCCTCATTTTTGAATCTTTGTTTTTTTTGCTATTTTTGCAGATTTCTGGAGTATTTCGGATCTGTCGTCCAGAATCCGCCTGTAGGGGGTCAGGCCCGACCTGAGGCTGGGGTGCTGAGACCGCCGCGGAATGCTCGGGGGGCCCGTCGAGCCCAGTTGGGACTGCAGTCGAAACCGATGATGAGGACGGGCAGCCTTCCCGCGGGTGCCCCTTGTCGGGCGGGACCCGGACGAGGACCCATCCGTTCCGGAGCGTTCCGGAACGCTTCCACTGCGTTCTGGGTCGCTCTGAGAAGGTCGCGGCGCCCGAGACATGCTGCGGAGCTGCCGGATCTCAGAGATCCTCAATGTATGCTGACCCGATTTCCTCCTCCTCCTGGCTTCGTCTTACCGTGCATCCTCGCCAATTCGGCCTGTCCTTGACCCCTCGATGGCGAGCCCCGCCCGAGAAGCTTCGACACGGGCGGCCAAGGGAATTGCATCCTTACAGTTGGGGGCCCATGCCAAGAAACACCCTGCCTGCCTCCAGGGTGCGCTGTTTTTTTTTTTGGGGGGGGGGTTCGATGGTCTCGCCATGGAAAGCGTGACGTCTCCACACCATAAATCGATGGACGTCCTGGGGTCTCAGGGTTGGGTCTCTCGTGGAAGATGTCTTGTGGACTGGCCTCCACCGTATCGCGCATCCCTGCTGTCAGCTCTGACTGTGCTCGAAGGGCCTGTTGTGAGACCAGCCAGGAATACCCGGGACGCTGCCTGTGCGCAGCTCGGGGCTTTCTTGTCAGATGAGGGAGGAGGCTTTGGGCTGCTCGGCGGATTCGAGCAGGCACAAGGCTGGGAGTCATGTGGCATGGTTTCTGCAAGGGCGCCAAGGGCGAGCCTGCAGACATTGCGGCATGCGAGGAGGAGGAGGAGGAGGAGGAGGAGGGACCAGCGTAAAGTCCCCGCGTTGATCCCCGCGTTGATCCCGAGCAGGCAGGAGCTCCCTTTGAGGGACGCCGTCCTCTACTCGGCAAAAAGCCAGGCTCAGACCAGCGTTGCATCCACTTCGGGCTGTCAGGAAGGCGACACGGGGGGTCTCTCAAAGTTCGCAGAGGTGTCCATTGGCAGCCCCGCCTCGAAGAGGAGCCGCCCTCCCTCCGTGCCGCTTCTCCTCACGCCTCAGCTTTCCGCCGTGCAGCCCGCAGTGCAGTCTCAGACGAGAGCACCGCTTTGAGCAGGATCCGCGCCCCGTGTTCAACTGCGGCACACTCAGACCCCCTCGCGTTGCGAAAAAAGCGTGACTGAGGTTTTGGGCCATTTTCGCCTTCCCGGGGCCCTCAGCGGGCCCCGAGACCGTCAAAAAACGACTCAGGATGAAAGACCGGTCCCGGGGAAGGGGTCCAGACTTTTGGGATTCGACGTTGTGAACAAATCACGACGTCAGGGGTTTGGGCACGTTCTGCGTGCGTGGTAATATGTGTTACGTGGAAGCCTTTTCGCAAGAGCTCTGCCTCTAAGACGCACCAGCCTCCGTCCGTGCAAACAGCTGCCGCGTGAGTTCAGCGAGTGTGCGCGGTGCTCAGGCGAGGGCCACATTTTGAGAACGAGCCAGCGTCCGTCATGGTATCCCTGGCAAGCCTTTCAGGCAGAGGAGCGCGGCGCTAGAGGGCGAAAGCCCCACTTTGAAAACGAACCGGCATCCATCCGTCTGGTGGGCAACTGTTCACGGTGCTACGGCGAGAGCCACATGACATGTAAAAGAGGACCAGGCCTCCATCCTTTCAGGTGCTCGGAATAGAACAAGCTCCGAGATAGCCGGTCGTGAGGAAGCCCTGCGGCAGGCTCGGGCCAGCCGACGGACACGTCTAGCTGTGCGACAGTGAGGGGCTATTCATAAGGAGTATTTCGGTAGCAAATCATGGGAGCCTGGTATCCCTCTAAATTCCGTCTTCAGCGTCGATTAGCGTCGACTAGCGTCTGAGTGTCGATGAGATAGCGCCGATTTAGCGTCGATGTAGCGCCGGTCAGCGTCGACGAGCGTCGACTAGCTCCGACTTAGCGTCGACCATCGTCGATTCGCAAGAGCCGACGAGATGGTGTAGGAGGTTCCCATGAGTTACCACCGAAGAGCAGGCATGGAGGGAGGAGGCCCTGCCCTGCCCTCGTACAGAGTGAACATCGCGGCACCAGGCCAGCTCGGGCCCGCGAGGGGCCCAGGCGGTGGGGGGAGAGAGATTGCCGATCCTGGGCCCGCGTCTCGTGGTGGTGGGTTTCGACTTCTCCTGGGCCCTTTTTTCCGCATGCCTCACTCTCCGCCCCGCGCCTCCTGTGCTTCTGCCTTCCTCGCTTCTCCTCCTTTAGTCGAAGAAGAACCGGCGGCATAAACATAAACTTTGGGCGGTCCGCGCGGACTTCTTGGATCCGCGCTGGGCCCCCCCTGGCGGCGCGTCGGGCGCCGCCCCTGACGCGCTTCGCGCGCCAGGGAGGGGGGTCCAGCGCAGATCCAAGAAATCCGCGCGGAGCGCCGAAAGTTTATGAGTATGCCGTGTTTTTCTTGTCTAAACTTCCCGTTTCCCCAGTTCACTGTCCAGGTTGCTCCAGTGGGGATACGCGATGCGTGCGACGCAGCGGCGAACGCCCCGCTGGGGGGCGGAACGCTCTGCGAGCGAACCGCCCCCGACAGATTGAACTTCACAGTAGCTGCATCCCGCAGTGCTGACGAGCGAACGGATGGCGCGGCGCCAAGTCGCTGCGTCTCAGCATTGCAGGACGACGGTTTTCCCGAGGGTGTCAGCCGGGCCACGTGTAAGTTTGATGTAGCCTTTCCCAGGGAAGGCCAGCCGCGCCACGTTTGAGCCTGTCATAGCTTCGTCGACTGTGAGGTTAATTTTTTGGGGTGTTGTAGTATTAGAGTTGTTAAGGCAATCGATGATGCTATGGATGAACATCTCAAGTTGCCAGTGGCAGCCTCGCCAACGTGCCAGCGGTGCATCGAGGTTCGTTCTTGACCTTTCGCATGTATTCGCCCTTGCACTCACTACTATGTTCCTGTCATGATTCGACACTGGTTTTGCAGGGCCTCCGCGTTCCCAGAAGAGATGTACCGATCTCTCCCAAATTGGTCTGGTAGAACTCTACTTGGCCGCCGTGTGGGCCCCCAGGCTGTTCGGAGGGCGTCCAGGAATTGATGGTTCTTCCGAGTTTTCCGGACGAGTTTGGCCGGCAAAATCATAGTGGACAATTTAACGGTTGCTGCTTTTGGGGGGTCATTCTGGGGCGACTTTGGGAGGGTATTCGGGCTATCTTGAGGCTCTCTTGGGGCCCGTTCGGCCTATATTGGGTGCGTCGTGAGCCCCTCTTGGGGCTCACCATAACCATCCTGAAAGTTTCCTAGGCCGCATAGCGCCGGAAGCTAATATATACCGTATACCGAGAGACGTCACGTTCTGCAGAGTTTTTGGCCTCACGCTGCCTCGGGCCACACTGAAGCCATCTCAAGGTCGTCTCGGCGCCCGTTGGAATCATCCTGAAGGCAATCTTGGGTCAACGGGATCCGTCTCGGGCAGCCGATTCAGTGCAATCTTGGGCCGTGTTGGGCAATCTTGAGTCGTCTAGGGGAGCATCCTCCTGGGCTACCATGGGGCTACTCGGTGCCAGCTCAGGCTTGGAGCCTGGGAGGTGTGCCTGGCGAGCTCGCGCCCCCCGCAAGCAGTATTTCGGACCCCCGTCGCAGGGGGGGGAGAGGCAGCTGAACGTCTCACGCCTTCTCTCCCATGGCAGGCGCGGGCCGACAGTTGTCAAATACCGATGACCGCTGTGCTCCTGTTCTTTCTCACTACCTTGATCATTGCATCTAGCCGTAGCAGTAGTATGATATTCGCTTCAGTTGCAGCACATGGGATGCATTCCCCTGTGGGGGGGTGAAGGTGGGGAACCGCCGTAGGACGAGGAGTGCGACGAGCTGGCGGAGGCACCTACGCTTGGCGCCGGCAGGGATGTGCATGTCGGGACACATGGGGTATTACCACCTTCCTCGCCGACCCTTTCTTCTTCCTTGGCCCCGTTTACCTTCTTATCAGGACCACGACCTTCAGAGCTAGAGCAATCGAGCCAACGGATCAGAATGACAAGTCCTCGCGCGACCTATTGCTCAGGCGCGTAGTTATCGAAGACGCCTACGGCGAATCACCGCCGCCCCCTGCCTTTCCGGAAGCGCCTATGTGGCCGAACGTTGATGCCTGACTTGCCAAGCTATCGGACCATGTGCTCCCCGAATCGGTTTGGAAAGTTTTCGGGGAACACGTGGGCATCTTGAAGGTCAGCTTGGCCGCCTGGAGGCCATTTCGACCCTTTTCGGGCCTTCTTGGAGGACGTCTTGGAGGGCTCTTGGGCCGTCTTGGAGACCATCTGGAGCGTCTTGGAGGCCTCTTGGGCCGTGTTGGGGGCCTCTTGGGGCAGTTTTGGGCCTCTTGGGCGATCTTTGGGGGCACTTGGGCCGTCTCGGGCCGTCGGAAGGCCGAACAACAAGCAAATGCCACAATCCTTCAACAACTCACGGGAAACCTGTGTTCTTGCCCTTTTCTGGCCTTTCTGGAGGCCCTCTTGGAGGCCTCTTGGGCCGTCTTGGGCCAGCTTCGAGCCAACTTCGGCCATCTTGGTGGACTCCTGGCCTGTCTGACGCCGTCGGAAGCACCCTTTTGGGGTGCTCCAGGGCCGTATTGGAGGCCATTTTGGGCGTCTTGGAGGCCTCTTGAGTCGTCGTTGTGCCCTCTTGGGGCCGTCTTGGGGGCCTCTTTCGCAGTCCTGAGGCCATCTTGGAGGCCTCGTGGATGCTGTGGGGGCGATCTTGGGGGCCTCCTGGGCCGTCTTGAGCCGTCGGAAAGCCGAAAAGGCGCAAATGCCCAAATCCTTCAAAAGCCTAAGGAAAATCAATAATTTTCGCCTCTTCGGGCCCTCCTGGAGGTCCTCTTGGAGGCCTCTTTGGCCGTCTTGGAGGCCTCTTCGGGGCCTCTTGGGCCGTCTTGGGCTAGCTTGAGGCCATCTTAGGCCGTCTTGGGTGCATCTTGGGCCGTCTTGGAGGCATCTTGGGGCCATCTTAGCCGTCTTGGAGGCCATCTTGGCCGTCTTGGAAGCATCTTGGGGCCATCTTGGGGCCGTCTTGGGGGGCCTCTTGGGCCGTCATGGGGCCATCTTGGAGGCCTCTTGGGCGATCTTGCGGCGACCTTGGGGGCCTCTTGGGCCGTCTTGGGCCGTCGGAAAGCCGAAAAGGCGCAAATGCCAAAATCCCTGAAAGTCCTAGGAAAATCAATGATTTTCGCCTCTTCGGGCCTTCCTGGAGGACCTCTTGGAGGCCTCTTGGGCCGTCTTGGAGGCCTCTTCGGGGCCTCTTGGGCCGTTTTGGGCCAGCTTGAGGCCATCTTAGGCCGTCTTGGGTGCGTCGTGGGCCGTTTTGGAGGCATCTTGGGGCCATCTTAGCCGTCTTGGAGGCCATCTTGGCCGTCTTGGAAGCATCTTGGAAGCCATCTTGGGCCATCTTGGAGCCGTCTGGGGCAGGAAAATCCACGGCAACCACCTCCGGAAGAGCCTCCCGGGACCCCGGCGGGACGCGCCGAAGGCCCAGGGGAGTTTTTTTGGAACAAGAACCAAAACCAAAACCGAGAGGGTCTAGCACGCTAGGCACCCCTGCGATGAATCGACAGCGGCCGGCGGATCCAGCTGCCTGCGGCACGTCCTGCCACCGTGCCAGCCCACCATTATGGGTGGAAACTGTTCGAGGTTGCGGGCGCTGAAATGATGATGATGATGATGATGATGATGATGATGATGATGATGATGATGATGATGATGATGATGATGATGATGGTGATGGTGATGGTGATGGTGATGGTGATGATGATGGTGATGGTGATGGTGATGGTGATGGTGATGGTGATGGTGATGGTGATGGTGATGGTGATGGTGATGGTGATGATGCTGATGCTGATGCTGATGCTGATGATGATGATGATGATGATGATGATGATCATGATGAGATGATGATCATGATGATGATGCTGATGCTGATGCTGATGCTGATGCTGATGATGATGATGCCGATGCTGGTGATGATGCCGATGCTGATGCTGATGCTGATGCTGATGCTGATGTTGATGCTGATGCTGATGCTGATGGTGATGGTGATGGTGATGATGATGATGATGACGATGGTGATGGTGATGGTGATGGTGATGATGATGATGCTGATGATACTGATGATGATGATGGTGATGGTGAGGATGATGAGGATAATGGTGATGATGACGATGATGATGATGATGATGATGACGGTGGTGGTGGTGGTGATGCTGATGATGAATGTTAACATGAACAGTTTGATGATGCTCATAATGAATATGAAGCTGACTATGATATTATGATGGTGTTGATGATGATGCTGACGATAGTGATGCTGATGACGATGATTGTGCTGATGATGATGTTGGAGATGATGAAGACGATGATGATGATGTGGACGAGGCGGATGATGATGATGATGATGATGATGATGATGATGACGATGATGATGATGATGATGATGATGCTGACGAGGCGAATGATGATGATGATGATGATGATGATGATGATGATGATGGTGATGACCATGACTATGGTGGTAGCGTTGTTGAGGATGATGATGGT